AAAATCATTTAATTTTTTTATCTGAAAATCGAAATTTCAAAAATATTAAATCTTATGATATATATATATCAAATCTCTATCATAAGCAATATCCGAAATAAATCAATACTAGAGTTGACCCGCTGCTTCCAGCAGCGGAATATAAGTGGAACATACAACTTGGCATTGTTCTGGCAACGACAGCCCAAGTCTGAAAATTTGTAGAAAATTTGGAGCGCCAGGTCTCAGCACGAAGGCGCAAATCTTGTGTAGTGGAACAACCACGGACAAGTTGATATCGAATTCTTGCACGTAATATTCCGGCGCCAAAGTCAGTCACGGACACTTAGGCATCTAATTATTCATTTTGATTCCGATGTATGGCGGTAGAAGCAACCTGCGATTGCTCATTTCGGCTTCAACGGTAGCCATCCCAAAGGTGAAATTAAGTTTCAAGTGACATCACTTCCGATAAATTTCATCCAGAGTGCCATGCCGAAGACCGAGATCAGAATTATAGCCAAAATACTAGATTTTTTGTATAGGCTAGGAGAGGCAGCAATAATATAGAAATCTAATATCCATATATATAATTTAAGAATTTCTGAAATTAGGGAATCATATTTAGGATCCTTATAATAGAGATCTTATTATTTAGGATATAATATTAGGGTCCCCTATTTTTCGAGACCCTTATTTATAGCCGGCTACAACCTAGCTATATAAGATTCAATGACAATCATCAAACTGAAAGCACCTCAGGATAAACTGCATTATATAGGAAGAACTGCTCTTCAAAGAGCCCTTCGGTGGAGCAATTATCAACCAAGGCCTAAATATAATTACGAGAAGATAGATACTAAATTTTCGTGAATAAATTTTACCTATAATACTATATATAAAACCTCTACGATCGATAACCCGCATGAATAAATGAGGCACGAATTTCAATATAAGACTACAAAATAATAATAACACATATCCTATATTCAGAAAGTAAGATATTAGAAAGCTATATTAGTGCTCTAAATCCTCCGAAAACTATCGCATTTTATACTAGTCAAATCTTAGAGAAGCGATAATTGAAAATATTTTTCAAATTTCGAGACCGACGCGTCGACTACCCAGACCTTCCAAATTTCATAAAAACTTAGAAAGCGAGGCCTAGCTCGAAATACCGATAAAAAGACCCAATCTTCTAAGAATTTTTCAGATATTTTAGATCCTATATCAATCGAACCGATTCGCGACCGTAATTTTCAAATTTCTTTAAAATTTTGAAATCTAATCGCCCCGAAACGTCCTATATCATATAGAATATGAATAATCGATATACTTTCTAGTTAAATTATATCAGACAGAGACAGATAAATAATATAGAAAGAAAATTTTATAAATCCGTTCTTATGTGCCAGTGCAAATCCACTTATAATAATTTAACTCACGTACCAAGCCGTGCCATACAGAGATAAATCTTTTGGCGAGCATCGCCCAATTCTGGGCGCATTCAAGGCTAAGGTCTATAATAGCCGGAATCGCCAAATATGGAGAATGAACATATTTAAAAATAGATCGCCGATAGACAGAGAGATGGACAAGAAGATAGATAGAGAGAGACAAATAGAAAATAGAAAAAAATAAAGAGACAGACAGACAGAGATGAGAGACAGAGAGGGAGACAAACAGCGAAATAAAGAGAAAAACAGACAGACACTAAATTTTCGTATGCAACCATTCATCCATAACACTACATATAAAAATCCCGATAATCCATAACCCATCTACATAGATAAAGCACGATATTCCAACGCAAAGCCTACAAAATAATTAATTATAAACTATATTGTATATCTAGAATATAAGATATTAGAAAACTATATTCATTCTCTAAATTTTTATTCTCGGTGCCTTCACTTTTAGAAAATTTAGAGAAAAAATCACTAAAAATTTTCCGCAAATTTCGAGATCGAAATATCGAACTACCTAAATCCCCAAATTCACCAAAAATTTAGAAGACTAGAACTAATTCAAGACCACCGAAGAAATCCCGCTCTCTCAAAAATTGCAGCCCGAGCTTAGAAATTTTCTAGAAATTTTAAGTCTCCGAGTAGAATCAATCGACTTGCTCGCTTCCAGAAATATCGCCGAAAATTTTACGACTTAGACGCTCCGAAATATAATATACCATATAAGACTAATTTAATCGTAGCATTTTATAGAATAGATTTAAATTATATAATATTTTTTTAATAAAAATACTATTTTTTATTTTCAAAACTTTGTATTCTTTTATTTATCGTCTATAAAAAATATATTTTTTAATATATATATAACGATATTTCGTATTTTATAAAAACTATTAAATTTTCGGCAAGAAGAAATCATAAATAAAATCATAAATTTAAATAAATTCTATATAAAATTAATTTTCATATATTACAATATATATATATATATTTAACAAGAATTAATTCTTTTTATTAATATAGAAAAAGAAAAAATTATTCCAAAAATCAATAAAAAGATTTTAATTATATCAATCTTAGAATAGAAATATAAAAAACAATATTAAAAAATAATTTAATTTAGAAAAAATTAAATATATTTAAATTTAATATATTTCTTATCGATATCAAAAATAAAGAGAAATTAATTAAATCCTTTTATAAATATTGAAATCATTCATTAAACTAATCGCCTCTAGACCATATATAAGAAGCTAAAAGAATTTCTCAATAGAATCGACTCTATTATCGAATAGAATCGACGAATATTCCTTAATATTAAAATATTCCGACTTCATATATCGATCATTATCATTTTTCTATATATCATCCCAAATATTTTCTTTTTCTCAAAATAGATTATAATGTATCAATCTCATATCTATTAATTCCTTATACCAATATCATAATTATCGAGAACAGAAATATAGGATAATGCTAGAATAGATCCGTGGACCAAAATGAATATACTAAATTTCCAATCATGCAACAATTATTCAATATCGCAATGCATCATCTTTAATATATAGATGCCGTTGTGTGGGAGAATCTAAGTGTGGAGGCTGCATGAACAGTAGTAGTTACTCCTAGTCCCTTACTCAGTGCCTAGCACGTCTGCTTTATCAAAACCAATATAGAATAGAATCGTCGTTATTTCATAAAAACCGTCTTGACTACAATTGGCTATAAGAATTAAATCTTTATAGAGTTTTCTTAAAAATATTTAGCTTCATCTTTTATTTTTTGATAAATTAGAAAGTCTTTATTAATTTAAATTCTTTTGATTCAAATACAGTACTAGCATGTCTTCTTTATTAAACGCGGCATCGAATAACGCGGCATCGAATTGACATATGCAGATATCGCATAGGTCCTAGCTATGTATAGGTCCTAGCTATATTTTTAACCACTTACATGAGAACTGCAATCTTCATAGAGCTCTTCATAAAAATGCTTGATCTATCAGTAATTCTTATTAGTGATGTAATATAAGATCTCTATAATTCTTTCATGAACTTTTAGTTCAGAATATTCGATTCCAAGTGCCGTTCATGATCTAGTTGTCATATTATCGATTCGGATGGCGCGATCAAGAATCTGCTTATATCTGTCGGCAAACAAATACGAATTGGCGAAGGAGAATCTGTGCTCAAAATCTGATATATACATATTCTACCAATTGCTAGAGATATCAAATATAGAGGTGGCCCCTATATAATGTGGTCGATAGCCAATGCAGAGATATTAAGTTAAATCCTGCCACCCCAAAACCCCTTCCCCCCCCTCCCCCCCACCCCCCCAAAAAAAAAGGAAGAATCGGGGCTTGGACTCAGGGGCCTCCCAGCTGCTCCTTTGCTTCTGCCAGCGCGCCTGGGAAGGTCGACGGACGGGCTTAGCGGGTTTAGCGTTTAGGGCTCGAGTTTAGCTCAAGGGAAAGGCTATGATCTTTCGCGATCGGGAAGCTTCTACTAAACGCGTAGGAGAACATCAGCAAGCTTCTTGAAAAATGACACAGCTTGGCAGTGCTCACGCACCCCACTTCAGGCGCTGCAGGACGCAGAGCTCTCCATACTCGCTATCTTGCAGAAAAAAGCAGGCAAGGCCAAGAACAGCATTGATGCACAACAGCGCGTGCTCTTAGATTTTTTTTATCGGCTCGCTTCTCCCACCTCTTCTCTGGCTGCAAGCCTCGGAAGGAAGCACGTCGACGTAGTAGGGACACGCTTTCTTTCGTTGTGTCGGAAAAAAGAGACACGAGGGCAGGTTGGACGATTTGCAAAACAAAAATCACATAGCTTCTGCAACTTGGATGCGGAATTCATGGTCCCCGCAAGGTGGGTTCCTTGTGTGTGCAAGTCAGCGGTGACTTAGGCAGCGCAAGCTGGCATCACCCAACATGCAAATGCAAATACGCACATATGCTTCGACTGGGCACTCAACACCTAAGCGTTATAACGAAAGTGCCAAATAGTTCCGTAGATCATCTCGAGTTGTACCATGTTATCATTGGGACCATGCACTCCAGCACTGCAGCTTGCTGTACAAGATTGTACAAGTACGCGGCAATGTGTCCACTGGCTTGCTAAAACATTCAAGCCAGCAGAATTGCTTCTGAAATGGCAGCCGACCCTGCGACTGCGGGCGCGGTCAGAAAGTGAAATGCTCGGGCTGTAGTCATCCTTGCGTGAAGCATTGCAGTGAGAACCCCTTAGTGCACGTATGCTTCAAAGTCGGGTTGACTGGTCATCCCGAGTTGTACCTACGTTGAGGCCATGCGCTCCAGCACTGCAGCTTGCTGTAAAGGTACGCAGAAATCCACTCAATTCACCAGGATCGAAAATCTCCTCCTGTCTTTTTCCAGACAGAAAAAGAAATCAAGGTTAAGATATCAAGTAAAAAGGCAGCATGCATCCTGCTTTTGCAAGGGCAAGAAAAATAAGCATGTAAACATGCTCAGCAGGCCGTCGGTTTGAACCGCAAAGGCCTCGAAGGAGCTGACGGTCCGACTGGTCGGCCTCACACCCTGATAACGTCGGGCGGCTCCTTGACATCAACTTTGACACGTGGCCCACGGGGCATGATGAGATCCAGGATCGCGGCAGCCATGTAGAGCCAATGTGCAAAAATCATACCCGAGGCAGCGAGTCTGACTGAGAAATCGAATTGGTAGAGGCTAGCGTAGCTCTCAAACCTCGGGGCGACAGATTCTTTGTGTTCATTGTGCTACCGAAAAATAATTTTAACGAGTTAGGCCAAACACAGACACTCTTTGCTTATGCCCAGCAGCACGCTTGCCTCAAAGGCAGCCTCCAAAATCAATTCGAGGAAGGAATAGATCCGAACGTGGACATAGCGCAGGAGACATAGCCAATGTTGCAGAATCAACGGCATAATGCATGACTGGATCTCGCGAGTCAATGGATACAAGCCCGCTGCAAGACCTGTAATCACCAGCGATGCAGCGCCGTGATGCAACAGCAGTCCGCAGCAATTGCTCCAAGCAGCAAGCAACTCCAACAGCTCTTTGCTCGAGAAGCGTTTGTGCAAACTTTTGGCTCTGCATCGGCTTTGATGGAGATAGTTGGCCGTCTCAGGAAAACCAAACTTCCAGTTGGCCATCAGCAAAGGCAACATGCAAATCCAATCCCTCCGAGCTGCAGTGTTGAGGGCCACTGTTGCCAAGAGAGGAAAAAGAAACTGGGCAAGCCGCCACATGTCATGTGCTCGGTCTTTGGTAAGAACCTTGAGGAGATGTTGTCCCACGATAGCTTCCAAGCCCCAACCGGTGATCAACACCGTTATCCAAGCAAGATACACCATCAGAGCTCGAAAGTTCTCGTTAGAAAGTCTGCCCAGCAGATACTGGTGACGAGCACATACATTCAGGCATAGACCGTAAAGCATCTCTTCCAGGTCTTCTTCCGCTGGATGGGGGAGCGGAAGCGTTTGCATATTGCTGAGGCCCCACTCCTCCATCAGGGAAGTGGAGACTATGTTCACGGGGACACGTCCCGGACAGTCCCTCGAAGATCTTGCAACGATCGTGAGAGCGAGGGAGAACACGCGGCTGACGACGAAGTCTTCCGCGTTCACTGAACTGGATGTGCAACTCACACTTGGTATGAAGAGCTTCGTCATGGCAAGAAGGCTAATTTCACCAAGGCTAAGTACATACGCAGAATTCCAGGCGATGTAAGCGTCTGCCCATGCTTTGCCAACTGGAAAGATTGTTCCGGACTCACTCCTGCTCGGAGGCATATCGATGTCGGCCATCAGACTGAGGGCTACAACGACGTTTGGCCAAGCACCATTTGCAAGATCCATCCGAGCTGCCTCGGCAATGTTCAACCGCAGCCATGTCATCATCATTTTGCCTTCTGCCTTGGTGTAGGGTGCCTGCACGTGATGCTGAAGCAACAGATCTTCAAGACCTCGCATGACCCCCTGCCATTTTAGCTGCGCAAAATCTCTTCTCTTACCTTGGTACTCTTGGTCGAAAGATGCCATGAGTCGTTCATGCTGCGTTTGGAAGAGGTAGTGGAAAACCTTCGAAGCAAAGAAGTAATCTCGGAGAGCCCTTGCCGTGACCTCTTCCAGAAAGATGGCAACATGAATCGCTTCGTGGACCAGGTGTAAGAAGCCGTCCCCATCTTCCGCTCGCCAGGCGAGCCCGGCTTCCTCAGCCCGGCACGCGAAATGCTCTAGCATGGGGTTCGCAGCCAAGCAAGTCAAAGTCTTGTTCACAAAGCCAGCTGTCTGCATTGGGGCCACAAGCCAACCTGCCATCAACTCCTCCACGAAAGTCATGTTGGTAAGCCCTGCTGCATCCATGACCTTCCTGAAGAGAGCTGGTTTGGTCTCTTTGAAGCCGTTTGAGGCTTGAAGCCGACTTGCGAATCGCAATACACAGCCTTCTGAATGTTTAGGGGCTGATGCTGCTGGCTTGGATGCACTCGAGGCAGACACTTCGTGAAAGCCATAACGGCTGCTTTTGCGAACAAAGGCTTGCAAAGGCGCGACTGAAAAGATCGCAGCATTCTCGTAGATCTCAGTTGCTGAGTCCTTTTCCTCAAACCGTTCTTGGAAGGGGCTCGCAACATGCGTGTCGATAATCGACACCTGCACTCCAGCAAGACATGCAAAGTTCATCAAGGCCATGCAGACAAGGACAAAAGACCAATGAACTTCGTTCTTCCGCTTTTCCATGTCCGTGCTTTGCCATAGATCTCCATGTCCAATGGAAGAGCGTCGTGGTGCTAAATCCTGGTTGACACCTGCCATGCGCCTCATTTGGTCACAAGCCGGCCACAATGGGTACTGTTCTTACTACTTCTACCAGTATGCTGCATGTATCACGCTGTAGCACAATATGCTCTCATGTAACGCATGGTAAAGTGCCTGCCTTTCAGGTCACGGAAGTTTTGTGTGCAGAGGTGCCGAAAAAGGGTCGTGAGCATCAGGAGTAAGTGTTTTCGGGCAAGGTTGGCAGTGTTGTCCGTTTCTGGAAATGCTACAAGCATCTATAAGCAACTGAAGGCAGGTGGAGAAACAAAGCCCCAATGATGTAGATGCTCGGAAGCACAAGCGAAAGAATCGAAACATCCTTGCATCAATCCTGTCATTGTTATGCGCGAGTCTCCCAAAGCGAAGACCGGGCTTCGGCGGCACCGCAAGAATGCGAGTGGCCAGAATGTAAATGCCCAATGTGCCGCTACGACCCACGAATCTGCCGGTGCAGCCGAGGAGCAGCCTACAGCCGCTCAATGGCCGGGACAACTTCGACACGAAACAGCTCTTTCCACAGGCATGCTCAGACCATGGTGGACTGCCAGACTGCTAGATTTCCGCAGTGCGCAACCCGTGGAATCGTTAAAGCCTTTGTCTGATCTGCGGGCAGAAGCGTGTCGTTTTCCAATGTCTGCTGAGAGCTAGGCCGAGATGACGAGCTGCCAACGCTGTCCTCAGTAAGCAATCTAGGCAGAACATTGCTAGTATGACGAAAACAGCACTGCGGGCATTTCGACTACTGCGATCGTCATTCGTCGAGGGGTGTATGCAGAGAACCCCCTTACGTTCGATAGCAACCCCAACTCGGAGCCTGCCAGGCCGAGCGCCCTGCAGTGAGAATCTATGATTGAGCTGTTTAGGCAGGTTGAAAGAGAGGCCGTTTGCTGCAACACATCAGGACTTGAAAGCTTGACATCCTTCTAGCCCATACTCCGGATAACAACTTTCCAAGGCAGCTCCCAAGGACCAACATGTACCAACTCTTTCTGCCAATCACTGCACGAAGGTCCCGCGCAACAGCCCAACGTCCAAGGCGGACGTGGAGCGGCAACAATTAACCTTGAATGAGTACGCCTAAACACGATCATTCTCATTGGTACTACGATTGCAATTTGCTATCAGTAGGTGCAGTACTTTGCTTTTGTTTTACTCTTGCTGTGACAATGTACTGCTGCACCACAACGTCCACCCAAGAGTGTGGAGAGGGGGCTCTACAGCTTTTTGCATGCTGCTTCGTAAGCGTAAAACAGTGCTGGCCTTAAGTGCACCGAGGATGTAGTGGTCGTCATTTGGCAGGCTACAGCAGCCGTGCCACCTGAGCACATGTCCCCGTGCACAGTCAATTGTGGCTTGACAGCAGTTTGCAGCCTGCCTGAGGCAGGCATGCCGGACCGCACCCCTTTCCCCCGACAGAGCCAAAAGGAACGACTGACGACGGCCAAACCATTCGAATAGAAATATTAAAAGTTTCATAAGATGAGAATTTCCATTTTCATGGAGCTCTAGTTATGAATACTTGATCCTTCTATGTATATCTTCTAAATCCGACCGTTGTCGGCTTGCCTATCTAATCACAAAGGGCATGGAGCATGCATCTGGGAGGGTCCGGGGATGGTGCTGCGACGTGAGCGTTCACGATCAGGTCAAGCAATCTCAGCATTTAAATATTTCCGGTGTGATGCCTAGAGTTTCTTAGTTGTTTAGTTCGTGGGCACTCACATATTTTACGGATCAGCCAGCCTTTGTACCAGATGATACCATATGCATAATTCATTTTGGGGAATATCGGTTTCTGTTGCGCCGAGCGGTGGGTTCGAGGTTCCAATTAAGTATTTTTGGATCTTCCGGACCTTGGGCCTGTTTCGGGGGCTTCCGCTGCTCTTCCGAGTTGAGGTTCCGCGTTCTGGGCGGCCTTGTTCCCTTGCAGCATTCGGACTGCACAGAGGATGTTGCTGTCAACAGCATGTTCTTGTGTTCGGACGCTCGAGTGTCCATGTCACGGCCCCGATCAGCATCCAGGTCCAGGTGTGCTGCTCCGGGAGCTTCAAAGCAGCTTACACCATAACCTCCATGTTGAGAGCACTTGCCGCTACGGCTAGGCTTTGAAAGGGCAGCTCCAGTTCTCCCAACATCGGCCTGAATGCAGGCCTGCCTCGCAGAACTGCAGAGGCGGATACCATTCGCCTGGGGCATTCCGGCATGTACAATTTTACAGCTGAGATCCCCCAAATCCGTTACAGCCCATACCGAGCATGTTTAAACCAGAGTCTACAGCTCATGCCTCCACAGTATCCACCATCAGCTAGCTCCGTGCCGCTCTTCACCACTCGCTGACCAGGCTGAACGGCAAATCCTGTTGCGGGAGCGGGACTTCTTGCTAAGGTCAATAACAAGTAGCGTAATTTGCCTTGCGCACAGTCCCAGAGCGCTGCGTCACAGGCCGCGCCAATTGCCCAACAGTATGCCTTCGGGGCATGAGTGAACCCATGCCTGGTCTCGTGCTGTCGTCGCCCTGCCTGACTATCTGCTCCATCCTCTTCACTCAGCTGCTCCTGTGTGAAGAAAACAAGGCCTCCCAACAGCACTTACAGTTTTTGACATGACACATTCAAGTATTCAGTCCGAGCCTGGCAGTGAAGCATGACGAATAGGACCCTGGCGCTGCACCTAATCACGTCAAAGTGAGTCACACGTGCTTACAAGACCAGGTTTGGCTCACGATCACGGGACCAATGTCTTCTGTCCGTGCCGGCGCTGGCGAGCTGACAGGAATTAACAGATTGGGGGATGGTAATCGAAAGCTTTATGACCTTATAATCTGCGTAGCAATGAAGCTGGATTCCACAGGTGACGGTGACATGCACGGAATCGGCGACCGTCCCGGCACGAGGGAGTGCATACCCTCCACCGCTCAACCCCTACAGTGCCATGCTATGATGTGAAGAGGAGGCGTCCTTTTAGCATATCGGCTAAAGTACATATTCCAAGGCCACACCGAGAACATCTGGGGCAATCAAGACAGGGTCCAAAGGCAAACGACCTCTACACGATGCGACAAAGAAGGGAAAGCTCGAACCACATTCGATGCAGCATGAGCACTTAAACAAACATAACGTGGTTCCTCGGCAAATTCTGCACGAGTGCAGGCACTGTCGCACTCCAACCGCAACATGTCTCGTTCCGGACTGCGTTTAAAGTTGCCCCGTTCTGATGGAAGGTCAAATCGAGCCTGGCCATCCACGATAATCGCCAGCAGCACCCGCGGACTGCAATCAGACTTACAGTAAGAATCGGGGAAGTCGGAAGCTCGAATCAAGCAATACAACTACTGGCTGGCTTGCCAAATTGCACAAAATACGCCCGATTGCACTTTTGGTGATTATGCGGCAAAACACCAGGCCTGTTCTCGTGTCCAGATGTGAAACACTGGGCTAGGGCAGCGTAGAGATCCTCCACAGCTGACACCGCGAACTGGTGAACTCTGATGAACATCAAACTTATGCCCAACCTCGGCATGATGGAGCTCGGAGGAACAAGCACAGCTGCGTAGGAACAGGACGTCCCGCGACTGTTAGCGACGTTCAGCTCATGTGTGCGATCATCTCAAGTGGAAGCATGGCCAGGGCCAGGGCCTGAGTGCGAAAGCCGTTTGCCAAGTCCAGGAATCGGAGAATGCGCCGGCGTAGCTTGTCTCTCACCACAGCTTGGCCGACCTAGCAACCACTTTACCCTACAAGTACCGCACAAGTTGGATATCTATTGTAACTTCTCGCAAGTGTCTTCATGGCAGCACCTAACCTAGAGCAAGCCCTTGCGCACGTCATCGTGCCAAAAGGAATGATGTTCTCCGCGATGCACCGTCAACCTTCTGCGACCACTCGCTCGCCAAAGCTCTCTACAGCACAATCGCTCTTTGCGGATCCATGCATTCAAGCCACGCAGCAGACTTGATTTCCAGCTTCCTGGCCTTATTTTCTCTTCATTGCCCCGAAACCGTAAAGCCAAAGTCCGAATCCAACTTAGTCAGGTGCCACGCAGAAGAACTCGCTGAAGCCAGTCTTGAGAAAACGCTCGACTCCTGCTTGTGTGCTCCGAATCCTGGGCGGCTGCCGGCAGAATCAGAAGCTCTTCTTCGATGCCAAAGCTAAGTCAAGCATCCAGTCGAAAGGAAGGTGTGCAGTTCCCAGACAAAGCCGCTGCATCGACAGCTTCCTTAAAACTGTTTTCACTAAGCTGCAATCAAGGAAGCATTCTGACTGTAATGATAGCAGTGAAAACCCTTCTCAGGCAGCAGCATGCCACAAAAGGATCCTCTCTTAAAAAAGGAAGCCGCTATCGAAGAGAGGGCAACTTCCGCAAAACTCTGCTCAAAACAACCAGCCTAGTGATACCAGCTGAAGGTGCTCCAGGATTTCGTCACATCTTGGGTGCTTCTCTTCAGAGCACGAGTGAAGCCTGGAGCCGCTTACCCCTGCATGCACAAGGCAGCTGAACAAGTAAAACTCGTGCGAAATCATTCGAGTGTGAAGCCACGCGCAGCCCGAGCTGCAGATCAAGCTGGTCAGATTGTCCGCCAAACCTCCCAGGCGACGCGGAGCCATAAATAGGGCACTACACTAACGGAAACTCTCACCTGCTTCCCGGGACAGAAAGAGCACGTCCATGAATTGCTGCGATATGCTCCAGGAGGGAAGCCTCCGCAGGTATTCGTCTGGTGAGGTGCTGGTTTGGTGTCCGAGGATCAATGAAGGTGGGGCCAGCATGTCAACCTGCCCTGAGCAGTAGTTGCACACGCGCCAACAGTACGATTTCCTGTGGTCGTAGGTTTTTGCCGTGGCATTTTGTCTTGTGGTTCAGGCAAGAGGCTAGGTGTTCCCACTTCGCATCTGTTTCATTTTCAGGTTTAAGTTACGATTTAATGCCAAACATCTCCTGCTGCAGGATTGGAGCTTCGCCAGCCAACATCTTTTCATATCCTTCTTCACGCTCACACACAGACGAGGCTTCAGGCACTAAACATATTGGGGAATTTTTTTCCCAATATGTTTAGGTCTGACAGCCCACACTTCCATTGAGGCTGGTGACGCTCGCTTGGTGCCCAATCGTATCAGCTGCACGGCCAAATCCTTAACCCAAGGCCCTTCGCTCTAAGCTCCGTGGCTTTTCATGCTGAAATTCTGCAACACCATTCGCGAGGCAGACGAAATACGACATTTTGCCTCGTCGAGGAAGTGGCGCTGGCAGTCAGGGCCTGTGCACTGGGAGATGCTCAAGCAGGCGAAGCCCGGCTGTGCAGGAGCTGACGCTAACAAAACGCCGGCTTCGCCAAGCGACAAGTCAGTTTTGGCAATGTCTGTGTGCTCTCGTTTCTTTGGCGACGCGATGAGCACTTCTCCGCATCACGGCCCTTGCGGGCTCATTGGAAGCTCGCCACTCAGCCTGCTTCTTTGGCAGGCCTGGCCAAAACGTGATTAGGCAATATTACCACCCTTTTTGTAAGCTGTGGTGCATTCCAACAGCTTGGTGCTTGACCTCCTGCGAGCTGCAACTTCAGCCTGCAGATCCATGTGCACACCACTCCACCACTATGCGACAGCACGAAGAGCCACACAAGACACTATGTGACAACGAGAAACTGCACCAAGTTGGTCCCACGAAAGATGCAACACGAAGCTGAAAGAGGCTTGTGGAGTGCACTGCCTGCGCCGCGAGCTGGCGCTGCATCTTCATCATGGCCTGTCGGGAAGCTTTGCTGCTGGGCGTCATGCCGCGATAAACTTGATAGGCACCAACCGAGGGATTTGTACATCCTTCGGTCCAGAACCTTATGGCCTGCCATGATACACATCAGACTTTTCAGGCCTTCTGAGCTCGTTCCTTGCTTCGCTCTTGCCGGAACTTGGCTGCTTCAGCCTCTCCAGGCGTCAGCTTGCAAGGCTGCAAATGTCTCTGCTTGGCCCGCTTGGTGTTCCGACACGCCTTACGCTGCTTGCTTTCGTCCCACATCGCCTTATCCGGAATTTGCTCCTGGCGAAACCAATGCCTGCTGCATAACCTGCTTCGTGCGCAATCAGAAGCAGAGCAGGTCGGCAGCAACGGCTGCCCATGGAAGCCTCTCTCAGAGGCTCACTGGTTAATTGTTGTACAGAGGCTGCCTGGCTCCCACGCCACCCGGCCTCGAGCACGGAGATGCCTTCGTGCATGAGGTGTAGTTCGAGTCCACCCTGGTTATCCTGCTGTGTCTGCGCTGCATCAAGTGCAGGTCATTCTAGGAGTTGAACAAGCGAGATTGGAGATGAGCATGTCGCGTCCTTTCCATTTGAGACTCCGTGAGTGTAAAGCCTGCTGCTGAATTTTCGCGGATTCGGTCCGGTCGCACAGACCTTCAAACCAGGAAGGGCCTTCAGTGGATGTCTGCCACACACCGAACAATGGTCGCTCGGCGCCTGGGGAGCGGAATGAAACCCATCTGCATGCTCCATCCTTACGTGATTCCGTTCTCAGAGCTGGTCAAAATGCAGTGCTGCAGGAATTGGAAACTTCATAAACGAGTGGAGCCACGAACGGCGACAGCCGCTTCACGGCACCCAACTTCACGTGCGATGTTTGCCACATCCTTATGCAAGCATTCGTTTGTGAAACCAAGGTCTTTGCGCTCTGCTTCTGAATTGGGACATGCGTCCGGCAGATGCTGCTTGACTTCGGCCGTGAGTCAGTTTTGTTGAACATTTCCCCTCGGGCCAGTGGTGCCATCCCCATGGTGGCGATTTGGTGGTTCCTGCTGGCACGAAGCAAAGCCGATGTCATCCAATCAAGCAGCCGCACGACTGTCAGCAAAATGAGTCCGGTGGTACGCCGTCAGCTCTTGCATCTGCCTCCAGCCTGACTCCAACGGGTCTCTGGACGGCGACTTGGTGAATTAGCTTACCTGATTCTGCCCGTTCAATTTAGGTGTGTACTACCATCACCGCACTCTAGCTAAGATGTACAGTGTACAGAAAAGAATGACGGGGATCGCCCATATTGCACTTCCTCCTGCTACGAAACGAGTCTCCCCGCCTGTTTTCCTTCGGAACCTCATTGCGATTGGTGGTGCTACAAATACGGTGGACCTGGAAACGAACCGACGTGGGCCAGGAGATTTCTCCGGCCTGAGCCCCAACAGCCTGAACCTCGAGAGGCCAAGGAGCAGTGGACCTCCACTTGGTTCACTTCCGGGAGCTCCAGGCCAGACATTCCTCGACCAGCGCAGCGGTGCTCGTTTTGGTGGTTCGCTTCATGGAAGTTCTTTTGTTTTCCAAGGGATGACCAGGCGCAGAAAACATGGGACCTGCAGGCAAAAGAAAATGCCGAACGACGAAGACAACGATCTCTCACACAGCGTCTTCTCCGAAAAGATGTGGAAAACGCTGAGCTGCAGGAAGAGCCAAGGAAACCAGAAACCAATGCTTTGTAAAGAGGGACGTTTTTGCCAGACTTTTTTCGTTGGCACCAACTCGTGCATCATAATAAGCGAAGATGTCTGAAGCCCGCGGCCGATGCTTTTGCACGCAACCCTGACGGCCACAACAAGAAGCCCCGGGCCCAGGTGGACCCGCCCTGACGAAAACCCAAATTTCTAGCCTGGGCTCGCATGCCCTCGAGCTGCTGCATGCCGAAGTTTGACACGCCCACAGCACCTTACCGTGTCAAACGTGCAGCGGGAAACCCGCAAAACAATTACCAGTAGCTGAGTTGCTCGTCATCATTAGTCAGTAGTCATGTAGGTCGGATTCACACGACTATCTTTCGGCTTTGTCCCCTGCCATCGATGCAAACAAAACACGGATTAAACCTGCATCTCGGAGAGCCAGCAGCTGGGTCCAAACCTGGCGTCCGCTCGGCGTACTCGACTGCGAAGCTTGTCTTTAACTCCGTCTGGGCTTTGAAGAAAAGAGATGCCAAGAGAGTTCATTCCGCCTTGCTGATCATGCCGCCTCTGGGGCTCTGCAACAGGTACAGGTCTATGCAATCGCACTTCAAGTTGCCTCGGTCACGCGAACCTGCCCTCGTCTGTCGGCTGACACAAAGTTGAAGCAAGTTTCGCAAGGAATCTTCCAGAGAAGAGCGCACAGCGGTGGGAGAAGAATGCGCGTGCTGAAGCAGCTTCCTGAAGCAGATCAAGACTTGCAAGGGATACTCGAATGCTCTACGCATGTTCATGCCACATTATCAAGCAAAGCATCGTGGCAATGACAACTTCGCTCGGCTGCATGCCAGACTTCCGAATGCCTTCTACGATGGTTGACTCCATGCCTGAAGACGGGGCCCAAGGTGGTATGACCAGAGTGCGCTAGATGCACGGGCGGTCGGCGACGAGGTTTCGAAGGCAGATATGCGGAAAGCACTCACACAATGAAACTTCATCTGATGTCCGTAGGTCGGAGCCGGCCACCTACAGCACCATGGATCTTGAACTTTCTCGGTAGTTTGCACGGTGCACACAAGCCCACGCCCCAAGCCTGGGTTGATTCTCCAATGGCAAAAGAAAGCGCTGTAATCATAGCTCCAAGTTAGGACAACCGTGCCGCTTCTTCAGCCGAGCGATGTGCCACTGGCGCCTACAGCCTAGTGCAATGCAATTTTTGGCTCCCACTCACTCATACAGCTGGCCAACCCGAACAAAAATAAACATTGCCTGCGTACTCCACTAGCAGGTATGTCACCCCCCCACCGCCCCCACACAACACAGATTTCCCTTCGGGCGAGCCATGCAACGGGGTCCCGCACCCCCCTGTCAGCTTCAGTAGTCAGACATATACCCGGAACCCATGCAGGAAGTGAACGCCTCGGAAAAACTTTTGCCACACACATACCTGCCGCAGCGAGGCGACGGTGTACCAAAGACCTGGAAGTTGGTCGGACGCGGAACCTGGTTCCAATCATTGTTGATGCGGATGCTGCTTGAAACTAAAGTGGAGGGTGATGGACTGAAATACGTTAGGAAGTTGCGCTCGGTTCAAGTTTATCCGACTGTTTACGGTCATGGCCCGGAAGCCGCTGGGAAAATGCACTTCTGGCCCAAGGACTGTGCAGGTTTCAACACCGAAGCAAGGAAACACAACATAACACAATGCTTTAACATGCGCAACATGAAAGCAACTGTCGTCAAGCTGGCTACAGCTGCGAAGCTGCTGTCAGGTTTAGCGCGCACACACACACACAAACACGCTTGGCCGTACTAGCCCGAAGGTACATCAAGCTTACCGCCTTTTTCGGTCCCGTCGAACAATGCCGCCTTGTGTTGAAACCTTCTTCGTGCGGGGTGAGTCTTGGCCGAAGCTTTGTCCTCGACCCCTCAACTCCGAAATCATTCGGAAGTGACCTGCAACTCAGGATGAGGGCTGAACACTGCCATTCTCCTGTTGCGAGCAGCCGTTGGTCTTTGAGTGAAGCCCTGGAAGCACATTTGCCACATTGCCTCCTTGGCCTAGTATGGGAGCTTGCGGGAACAGTCTAGCTTTTGTTCCGGCTTGCCGGTTGAGGTGCCTGCCTAGTTGCGGTTGTGTTGCGATGGCTGGCAAACGCTTTTGCAAGATTGGCCCCTGCCCCAATGCTTACGTTTAGGGGTTAGGTTTTTGGGGCGTTCAGTGAACTCCAAATGGAAGGGGGGTGACGCTAGTGGAGCTGCCGGAGAAGCCGGGAAAGAACACAAGCAGCAAAGTAGCGTCACTCACTCACCCTTGTGCTGAAGGTAGACGTCGACCACCACCACCCCTGAACCCCCTGCCGATGACACTTTCGCCGCGGTCGTTGCGAGTCACCTGTACTGAAGGTGAAGGCCTGGAAACCCGCACCGAGTTCAAGTTCTGCCTGGAAGCCACCGGTCCAAATTCTGACACAACTGCTGGCTGAATAACCACTGCCCAGATCTGCCGAAGGTGAAGGTCAGACCCAATCTGTTGAAGATCACGATTCGAAAGCCGTTGGAAAGCACCGAGTCCTTTTGGGGTTCAGGGTCTGCAAGCCGTTGAAAATTGACACTTGGGTCAAGTTCTGGTCGACCCCCCTTCGGCCGCAGGTCAGGTTGACCCTAGTGACGATGCAAGTTCGCTGCGAAGCGCTTCCGCAAGATCTGGGAGATCAGCCATCGTGCTAACAGTAGAGCACTTCACATGTCATGTACTTGCTTACTCCCGCCATGAGAAACCGAAGCACGACAACAATACGTTTCACCTACGACCGAAGGAGCGGTTTCCTCTTTTGCGACGG